ACCAGGCCTCTGGCTTGTTGAGTGAATCCTGTCCACATCCACACTTGCCCTGCCTTCACTCTTCTCCACTAATTCAAGTATCCTCCACTTTGGTCTGAATGTATGTGGGGTGGTTTGTGGGGTCAAAGGGTGGGAGGATTAGGAAAGAATAGATTGAACGTGTTTGGTAGAGTTTAGTTTGTGGTTCTGAAGCTGCTCTGCATTAACAAAAAGACAGTTAGCTCGTAGGCTGTCTGCTGAGATGGGAAGGGAGGGGAGCATGGAGTTTGGGGGAAAAGTAATCTTTTAATAAGAAATGTTTGAAAAAGCAAAGAGCCTTGCCCATTTTCTGGAAGAATAATTATTTCTTCTTGCTGAGTTACTCCCTCTCCTTCCTATTCTGTAATTTTGTTTTTTCTGCCTTGCCAACATGAGTCAGAATACTCTCTTGTTCAGAGGCACAAATTCCTTTCCTCTTTTCCTCCAGGGAAGCCTATGAAATGGAGCCCTGCTTTTTCTTTTTCATCAAGCCCAAGCTCCTGGTGAGGTCCAGCAGGGATGAGAGTCCATATCTGGACCTATGTGTGGGGGAAGGGTTCTTAGTGGCTCTGTCCAAGATAAGATCCTCTTGAAGATGATTGTACTTACCCCTGCTGGTAATTTTTGGGATGCTGTCCACAACCTTCCTGAAAAATTACCAGCCCTTTGTCCTGACTGATGAAAGAGGCTGGGTAGTCCATCTGCTGCCCATCTATGCAGCTCCCCTGTGGTCAACTGTCTCTCCAGAGATGTAGTCACAAGGAACCTGTCTTCCTGAGTTTCCAAGGCTTACTGTTTCCTCAGTAGCACCCCATGGCCCTCTGGTGTTCTTTCCTGCTTGAGAACTTGTTCTTCATCTTTGATGCACCTCTTCATTGCTCATGTTCTCTTGCACAGAGTTAAGGAAAGGAGTTGGTCATTTGTCATAAAGAGCACCTTCTTAATCTTACTTCTGAGCACTTTGTACCTTGATCCCTGTGTTACATATATTCTTATATGTACTTTGCTTTTCTTCAGTTTTCAGAGACCATGTTAACTGTCTGTCTTTATACCTGGACAAGGTCCTTATCAAGTATTATTAACTGTCTACTCAAGGCTAACACAGGGCCCAATAAGTAGGAAGAAATGATTTTTTAAAAATTTAAAACTAATTTTGATTAAAATCACAAGGACAAAAGCATACAGTTGTAGCAACAACAACAACAAAAAAAAAGCATCTATTCAACATATAATAAATATTAAGTAACTACAAGAGGTTATATTCTGGGCCAGGGGAGAGAAAGTAAAACAGTGAAGAGGTAATGTAGTATGCAAAAAACTGGCAATCACTATGGGATAAAGGCAAAACGAACAACAAAACAATAGACCAAAAGGGTTAAAATAGGGCAGGATACTTATATTCCCCTTGTAAAGGGCTTTGCAATTTTAAATAGATTCCAGGTTAGGTCTCAGTGTGGGAAAGTGACTTTGAGCAGAGGAATCAGTGAAATGATACATCTAAGAAGGGTTTTTTTACAGAGTGATTAAGGAACAAAAAAGAGACCAGGGTGAGTTGGAGAGGAGAGTGCAGGGAGAAGAGTAGGAGGTGAGTTCCAATGAGACAGTGGGAGGGGATATTACTATGGACCTGATAGACTGTGATGAGGACTGGCTCACACCACATGACTTGGGTTTGAGCAGAGGAAGGACAAGATTGATGGTTGCTCTAAGTGGATCGCTCTGGCCAGTGGTAGAAGAGTCATGAGAGCAGACTGTGTGGGCCCAATGGCAGCATCAGGGAGGCTAGTGGGGGACTCTTCCTGGAATCTGTGTAAGAGACTCAGGTGCTAGGACCTAGTTTGAAGAGAGTGCCTAGAGGGTTTTGTGATGAAGTAACTGACAGAAAGGGAAGAGACTAAGAGTAGCTTTGTGAAAATGGCCCTCAGTTACAAAGTGACTTATTAAAAACCTATGGACCAGAGCTAGAGCTCTTAGGGAAGGGGTCAGTAAGGAGGGGAAGAGTAAACCCTGAACTTTAAGGGGATATTGAAAAGGGAGCTCTGCAAATAGCAGAATGGGGGTGGGGGGTAGTAGCTACGTTTCTGAATTCCTCAGGTCTCTGGATGACAAGAACAGTACCTACTTTCTCCATTGGCAGTTCCTGGCCCAGGAAACAGGGGAAGTTTAAGAAAATGTTGGCTAAGCCCCTCATAATACTTTTTCTCTCCTTTTTAGAGACACTTTTGTTTGTCTTGTCTAAACTGTAGTTACCTAATGTCTCATTGCAAATATTCAGGGTATACTGAGATAAGGAAGCTCTGAACCCAGTTAGTCCTCACCCTATCATAAAACTCTTACATTTGTACCACTTTCAAAGGGGAATGTGCATTTTGTCTCTGTGTCTGTTGTCTGTTTTAGGTAGGGAGGATTTCAATGGGGTGGCACTTCTCCAATTTTAGAATAAAGGATAAATGAATAAAGAAAAAATAGACACTTGTCATAGTTTTCTAGGGCTTCCATTAAAAAGTAGAAGAAACTTTTAGTAGCTTATAACAAAAATTTATTGTCTTACACTTCTGGAGGCCAGACATTCAAGATCAAAGGTGCTGGAAGTGCTGGTTCTTTCTGAGGGCTATGAAGGAAGAATCTTTTTTATGCCTCTCCTAGCTTCTAGTAATATGCTGGAAATCGTTGGCACTTTTTGGCTTATAGGGGCACCACCCTGCTCTTTGCTTTCTTCTTCACATGGCATTCTCCTTGTTTGCATGTCCTTCCCTGTGTCCAATCTCCCCATTTTATAAAGACACAGTCATATTGGATTAGACCCCACCCTGATGACTTAAACTTAACTTTATCATCTGCAAAGATACTATTTCCAAATAAAATCACATCCATATATATTGGGGGTTAGGATTTCAACAACTTTTGGGGAGAAACGATCAATGTATAATAATGCTCAGTATGTTTGAAACAGGACAGGCTTTATCTTCCATTATATGGCCTCCCTTACATATTGAGACTTTTCTCCCTTGACCAACAGATGTCTCAATGGAATTTGTATTCTTCAGGTCTCCCTCATGTGTGTGATTCTAAGAATGTATGTCTCTTTTCCTTCTTCCTACAAAAATATACTTTTAGGTTACTATTATCATCCCTGACATATGCCCCGGCCAAGGTGAAATTTTAACATTTAAATACACAAGACTCCCCAGAACCACACAGATGGTCTGGATCTCTCCATTTCTGTACTTTCATAGCATTGGGTCTCAATACTGTTCTTGAAGGCTTTACATTTGTTTTTGTGTTTTTTTGTCTTTGTTTAAATCTGTGAAGTAGTGGGGAGAACTCCAAAGAAGGGCTTTGTGGACAATATTCTTATCCTGACTCTACCTGCTAGAATAGAATGATCTTTGTAAGTGTCTTGATTCTATTTATACATCTGAAGAAAGGGAGTACTATTATTTCTCACGGATTTTGTATGAAGAATAGTTGAAAGTAACCTCTAAATTGTAACTGGTTATAAAATTTTTAGTGATGAAATTGTGTCCCTCTTGTGGTTGTTGCTGTTTCTGTGTGTGTCTCTGGGAGTGAGTGTGAGGGCATGGGAGGACTCTCTGTGGGTAGGTGTGCTAAGAGGTGAACACTTCCACACTGTAAACCAAAGCTGTGGTCCCCAAACTGACCAATTGGCAACTGCTAATTTGTAGAAAGAAAGATGAAAATACAATTAGAAAAGTCTAATCATCTATGAAGACATGAGGAGGTTCTAGTTTTGAATATTCATCAAACATTGTGTTTCTATGTGTGATGCATTGCTCTGTGTACTGAGGATATATCAGTAATCAAAAACAGTACCTGGCCTATGCATGGATCACTTTTTGGGAGGCAGACATAGACATTTTTAAAAGCTTTTGTATGTTTTATAGTAAAAATAAGAGAAAGATAGTTACTGTACAGTGAGTAGTAGTAGTGGTGGTTTTGCTGTAGGCAAGTTATAACAGATCCTTCTGATAAGAAGACATAAAAGATGACTTATTGAATGAAATATATGAGTCATGCCGACATCAGGGGGAGGATCATTTCATGCTGAGAGAAGAGCAACTGCAGAAGCCTCAAAGCTGCAATGGCTTTAGTGCTTTGACACTGAGGATGTGTTTTTGGCATGGGAAAAAAAGGAGGATAGATGAACTTCAAAGAGTAGGCTAAGCAAAATAATTCAGACACGAAAGACCATACATTATCATCACTTTCTTTATCAATTGATTAAAAACAAAAAGGAGATTAGTGGTTGCCCAGGGAACTTGGGATCATAAGGGGTGGACTGCTAATGGGTACTAGTTTTTTTTTTCTCCTCTGCTGGTGGATATGTTTTAAAATTGGGTTGTGGAGATAGTTTCACAGTTCCACAGATGTACTGGAAATCATTGCATTGTACACATAAAAATAGTTTGTTTGATGCTTTGCAAATATAACTCAATAAAACTGTTTTAAAAAAGAGAGAGAGAGAGAGAGAGTGTGAGTGAGTCATGCAAATATCAGGAGTAGGATCTTGTCATGCAGAGAGAGGAGCAAGTACCAAAGCCCAGGAGCAGGAGCATGTTAAGTGCATTTAACATGGAGTATGTGTTTCGGTTTGGGGAAGAAGAGGCAAAGCAAATGATGGGTTATGCAAGACTCTTGGTAGGAAGGACTTCAGTTTGTCCTTCTCTCCAGCAATTGCCCCGACAGGGTGGAATTTGTCATAAGATGCAAAGTAAGACCAAAATGTTTGAAATTATTACAGTATCTTGACCTATTTGGTCACTCACCTATTCTTTATGTCTTTCTTTTATCCTTTCCTTCCTTATTAAATATTAATGTTATGTCCTATTCTAAATCTCTGCACAATCAGTATCTTTTCTAATCCCACCTTTCATATCCCGTCCCCTTCAACATTCCCAGAGAGTTTGTGAGCAAGAAGAGCCTCAGGAGTCAGGACAGAAAGAAGACAAGGGGGCGGTGCAATGGATCCATCAGTACAAGTAAACATACAGAAGGAGGTCACCTGCCCCATCTGCCTACAACTCCTGACTAAACCCCTGAGCCTAGACTGTGGCCACAGCTTTTGCCAAGCCTGCATCACTGCAAAGAGCAAAGGGTCAGTGATCAGCCCAGGAGGGGAAACATGTCCTGTGCGCCAGACCAGATACCAACCTTGGAACCTCGGGCCTAATCTGCACCTGGCCAACATAGTGGAGAGAGTCAAGGAGGTCAAGATGAGTCCACAGGAGGGGCAGAAGAGACATCTCTGTGAGCACCATGGACAAAAACTGAAGAAGTTCTGTAAAGAGGATGCAAAGGTCATTTGCTGGGTTTGTGAGTTGTCCATGGAACACCACGGTCACCAAACAGTCTTCGTGGATGAGGTCGTCAAGGAATGACAGGTAGGCCCCGGGGTGGAAGAGGATAGGGCAGAAGATGGTACTGGATGTGAAATCTTCACATTTTTATCCTTCCTTGTTCCCCTTGTTATCAGAGAACAAGCCCTGGGATCTCTTTCTAGACCCTTTCCCACCTTCGAAGGCCTGACGGACATTGTTGTACATTTTTTTCATTTGAATAAAGAAAAATCCTAGAGAAAAACTTTTTAGCAAATATAAATTGAATAAATGGAAATTTACTTTCTAAGACAAACTTGGATTGCCCCTGAGCAGAAGTGATTTTTGGGGACATGTTTGGTTAGATGTGGGAAGAGATGCGGGAAGATTGACAATGAGTTGAAAGGAGTTTCCTTGTTGAAGGGTCAGCTCTTTAAGAAAAGATTCAGGCTTCTCTACATCAGGGGGTGGTAACTTCCATAATTCAGGAGTAAAGAATACATTCTCCTCCTAAGATGTTCCCCAGTGTCATAGATTCTAATCACTAGCTTCACAGTTTCCAGAAATTGATCCCTTTTGAGATCAACCTGATTTGTTCCCTGATTATTTTCCACCCAGGTGCTGTGAAAGCACACGTCTTGACTCTGGTGTGGTTCCTTTCTCACAGGAGAAACTCCAGGCAACTCTAGAGAGGCTGATTAAGGAGCATCATGAAGCTGAGAAGTTGGAAGCTGACATCGGAGAGCAGAGAGCTACCTGGAAGGCAGGAGGAGACACTTCCTGAGGGATTATGAGACAGGAATCTGGGAAGGACCCAGGGATCTATCACAAGGAAACCACTTTGTTTCCTCTTTGTTTCCTCTTTGTTACTTCAGAATAAATGAGCACAGAAGCCATTTGATTAGGACTTATTATATCCTTTCCATGTTGGCATTAGGGGCTGAAAAGTAGACATCAGAAATCAAGAGATAGTTGGAAGGGCAGGCATAGAGGGAAACAACTAAAAGTGGCTTATGAATCTTATGTGCCATTTAGGCTCTGATACTTCCAGGAAACATGGTAGGAAAAGGCCCAGGGTTCCCTGTTTAGGAGGTGTGGGTGGAGGGGTTTAATACACAGAGTGGCATAATTGTGCAGGACACAATTATGTCTGCAATCCAAGACTCACCAAGCTATCACATTTTGTCTGAAGGTGGGCCTCAATAAAGCAGACTTGAGTATATTCCTTTGGGAAGACCTCAGGGGTAAATAGTGGGGAAAATGGCTTCAACAGAAATTGCTCAGATGTTTACCTCCTATTCCTTTTAAGAACTCCCTGAGGAAAATAGCTCTTATCCTGGCTCCCAGGTCCATACAAAGCAGGCCCTCAGCCAGACAGACTGACTGCCTCTTTCTCTTCCCATCCCCAAAGAAATATATCCAGACTGAAAGACAGAAGATTCTGAAAGGGTTTACTGAAATGAGAGTCATCTTGGACAGTGAGGAGCAGAGGGAGCTGCAAAAGCTGGAGGAAGACGAGGTAAATGTGCTGGATAACCTGACAGCAGCTAAGGACCAGTTGGCTCAGCAGAGGCAGTGTGTGAGAGAGCTCATCTCAGATCTCCAGCATCGGATGTCGGGGTCATCGGTAGAGATGCTGCAGGTGAGACTTGGCATGGAGCTCCTACTCACGACATTCAGAGAGACACACAGAGACTAATTTCCCTTTCCTTCTAGGTCCCTAGACTTTCTTCCTTATGGGTACATTAAAAAATTCATTTGGCCCCACAATGCCACTTTTATGCTATTTATTTCAGGGGTCACAGAGATAATTCAATACATGAATGCCAAGAAAAGGTCCCATTATTATTAATTTATTAAGGGCAGTGCAAATATTTGACCCTGGAGAAAAGATCCCTTGTATCCAGTGGTATTCTATGGGCTCCTGCTATCTGTGATTTGGTGTTGGGGATTACTAGTAAGTCATCTTCACTAGGCTTAGTCACAGGCAAACAGTATGTACCTCTGTTTATGTTTGATTTTTTTGTAGTTGAAGCATGGCAAGTGTGAGACTAGATTGTGTAATACCTGACTGACAATGTACATATATGCACGAGTGTGTGTGTGTGTGTGTGTGTGTGTGTGTGTGCATGTGCATGTGTATGTTCAAGTGTTTGTCTTAGGATGTGGGGGAAAACCTATAGATACTTGGTGAAGGTATTGGACTTAACATAAATATTAAAACATTTTTTTCATTGCATTAACAATATGACTATGACCTTGAGCCATAAAGAATGTTGAGAAATTTGGTAAATTTAATTTTTTCTGCTTGACTTCTTGTCATTCTCCTTTTCTTCCTTTGTCAGTTGAACAAAAATGTGTTAACTTTTGGTTCTAATGTTGGGATAATTAATCTCCATCTTCTGGATCTTCGCTTCTGCTTTTAAAAAACACGAGTTTCTTGAGGTATAATTTACATATTATAACATCTTCCAATTGTACGAATACAATTTTTAGTAAATATATTGAGTTGTCAACCCATGAACAAATTCAGGTTTAGAGAGTTTCCATCACATCAAAAACATTTCTCACTCCTATTTGTAGTCAATACCCATTCCTACCCTTATATCCTGGCAACCACTCAGTTGTTTTCTGTACATGCAGATTTGACTTCTCTGGACCTCTCAGTATAAATTGAATCATACAACATGTAGTCTTTTGCATCTGGCATCTTTCACTTGGCATAATATTTTGAGGTTTATTCTTATTGTAACATGTTGTTCCCTCTAATTGCTCATACTATTTAGTTATCTGGATATATCATATTATGTTTATCCATTTACCAGTTGATGGCTATACAAACAGTTTCTAGTTTGGGGTTATTACAAATAATGCTACGGTGAATATTAACTTACATGTGTTTGTATCAATGCATATTTTCATTTCTCTTGGATATATTTTGAGAAATATATAATATATTCCTGGGCCTTTTCCTACCCCCTGGTGTTTGCAATATGCACTTACAATGAATCTAAGTCTACTTACAAATAAGAGTATACCACTTCACATATAGTACAGGTACTTTATAAGATAGTATTTGCAATTCTTTCCTCCCTTCCTGTGCAACATTACTGTCATTCATTTCACTTATTTATAAGCTGTAATCACCCACTATATTGTCGATATTATTAAAGTTATCTTACAGAGTAGTTGACAATGAGAAAAAATACAATATTTTATTTTATCTTTCTTTATTCCTATTCCAGTGCTCTTCCTTTCTCTATGAAGATCTGAGTTTCTGACATATGTTCTTTCCATCTCCTTGAAGAACGTCTTTTAACATTTCTTGTAAGGCAAGTCTTCTGGTGATGTATTCTCTCAGGGTTTTATTGTTTTGTTTTGTTTTTCTGAGAAACTATTTCTGTTGCACTGTTGAGATAAAGTCTCCAAATATAGATCTCTTGTTTTTTGTTGTTTTATGTAATACTTTAGATATTTACTTCACTCTCTTTTTGATAGCATAGTTTCTGATGAGAAGTCTGCTGTAATTCTTATCCTTATCCTTCTATAGTTAAGGTGGTTCTACACGCCCAGTTTCCATAAAGATTTTCTTTGCTTTTAATTTTCTCTAATATGAACATGATACGCTTAGATGTACACATTTTAGTATTTTTTTGACTGGTGTTTTCTGAGCTTTTTGGATTTGTGGTTGGTTACTTGTAATTAATTTTGGAAAATCCTCAGCCATTATTTCTTTAAATATTTCTTCTCTCCTTTCTCTCTTTCTTCTCTTTCTGGTATTACAATTATGCTCATATTATACATTTTGTAATTGTCCCATAGCTCTTGGATATTCTGGGTTTTTCTTTTCTTTTCTTTTCTTTTTTTCTTTTTGTCTTTTGTTCTGTGAAGTTTCTATTGACTTATCTTAAACCTAACAGATTATTTCCTTGGCCATGTCCAGTCTACTGATGAGCCCATCAGATACATTCTTTTTTTTCTGTTCCAATGTCCTTGATTTGTAGCATTTCTATTGGATTTATTCTAAGATTTTCCACCCCTCTGTTTAGATTACTCTTCTGTTCTTGAATGCTATTTTTTCTATTAGAGTCCTTAATATATTGAACACAGCTATTTTAAAGTCTCCATTTAATAATTTCAATGTCTGTGTCATATCCAAGTCTGGTTCTGTTGCTTTGTTTGCTTTGTTTTTTCAGATTGTGGGGTTTTTGTTGTTGTTGTTTTGTTGTTTCTGTTTTGTTTCGTTTTGTTTTTTGCCATTTAGCATGCCTTATATTTTTCGCTAAAAGGTGGACATGGTATATCAGGTTATAGCAACTAAAGTAAAAATGAAGGTACTTCAAAATGTTTGTGAAAAAAAATAGAGCTAAAAGATAGGGGAAAATGTTGGTAGACCAGTACAAAGTTACAAGTTACAGTCAGATAGGAAAAATAAGTTCTGATGTTTTAGGGTGGCAATAGCTAATATTATTGTATTGTATATTTCAAGACAGCCAGAAAAGAGGATCTTGCATGCTATAACTACAAAAAATGATAAATATTTTGGTGAAAGATTTGCTATTCTGATTAGATCATTATACATTTATGCACGGAAGCAACAAACCATGCCCCATAAACATGTACAATGAAAAAAAATAATTAAAAAAATACATGATATAAATCTTTTCATGAAATTTTTGAAGATTCCTCATAGTGTAAGGTTTTATGTTAATTTGGCTAGTATTGGGGCTGTTTTCAATGTGTGCTCTAGAAGTAGGGGCAGAGGCTTCTGTTTCCTTTAGTATCTTTTTTTTTTTCTTTTCATTCTTCTGTGGTATTTAGGTTTCTCTGAAAATTCCTTCTTCAGTAGAGTCTGCATCTTGCAGTTTTTTCTGTTGAAATGTGCTGCTATTACACTGGGGTCCTGTTGATGTGTTGGTAAGGTGCGGGAAGGAGAAGTGACCATTATTTTATGATTTTTATCTCAGTCTTTGATTGGGTCTGTCCTCTGTCCATGGACTGTGACCTTCACAAGTGTTTCTTAGTTCTCTCTGGCCTCTTAAACACTTGCGAAGGTCTCCCTGACCTCTTTTGTGAGACTGGGAGGTGAGAGAAGCCTGGGGATGAGTAAATGCCCTTCTCCATAGGTCAGGTAGGACTCCCTCTTCCTCCATGGAGAGTAGGCCATTGTTACAGGGAATACTCTGGATCTATTTTATTTCATTTTATGTTTTTACATTTTTCTTAGGTATTTATTTCTTAAAAAGATGATCTTTGCTACTGACTCTTTTTTTATTGAAACATAACTGATTATTCATATTTGTGGGGTACAGAGTTGAATGATGAATATGCTAATTATAGTGATTTGATCATCACACACTGTACACAGGTATTGATATTCAACTCTATTTTACAATAGTTACTTTTCTCTTGCCTCTACCAGAGACACAGGGGCTTTTTCTTGGCTCTTCCCTTTGAGAAGCTGGTGGGGTTCCTGGAAGTGAAACTGACAAAAATATGAAGCCCCCATAAAACGGGGCTCCAAGAGTTTCTCACTTTTTTGCTAGTTCATACTCAGCCTCCAGCAATTCTTTAAATTGCCCTTTAAGTTTTCCTTCCAATGTATGGCTCTACCATCTTCTGGAACTTCCATGTAAGCTTATCTTCTCTGTGATTCTCAGTATCTGTCTCTCAAGACTTTGGAGTGTTTGTTTATCCTGTGACCTGAATTCTCTGATAAGTCCGAGGAAGTCATTGATTTTCAGTTTGTTCTGCTTATTTTTCTGTTGTAAGGACAAGAGGGATGGCTTCCGTGCCCTTTATATGTTAGAGGTGAAACCAGAAGTCCTATCTTTTCATATACATTTCTGCTATTCTTATGTATATGTACAAGTATATTATATATATACACATATAATATATATTATTTTTATTAATTATATATGTATACATTTTATATATAATTAATAAAAAGTCTATTCAAATAATTTGTCATTTCTTAACAGAGTTCTATGTACTTTTTAGTGTTTTATGGATTTTTATTTTATATTCTGGATACTCATTTTTTGTCAGATATGTATTTTTTACATATTTTCTCAATGTTTGTGTCATCTCTTTTTACAATTTTTTAATGGTATATTTTGGAGTGCAAATGTTTAAAAATTGATACAGTCCACTTATTTTTTTTGTTTGTGTGGTCAGTTATGCTTTGGGGATCAAATGCAGGTACTCTTTGACCAACTCAAGTCAGAAAGACTTTCTCTTGTTTTTTCTTCTAAAATATTTATAATTTTATCTATGACATTAGGTCTATGGTCAATTTTGAGTTTGTGTATGACATTAGGTAAGGATCTAAGCTATTTTTTTTTTTTATTTGGGAATATCCATTTGTTTTAACATTATTTGTTGAAGACTGTTCTCTTCTCCATTGAATTATTTTGACAT